TATCACTCCAATCTTTTAGTTGTTATGAAGGGGTGATGTGTCTCTTAGGCTTCTTTCTTCTGAATGGGGTGTCGTTTTGGGGGTGAGGAGGGTTGACAGAATGATGGTTCGTGCCCATGTAGAAGCTAGTGCCAGGCGTCTCAGCTAGGATGAGAAGTTTCCTGTTAGTGAAGGCTCGCATCCGAGACTGAAGAAACCTTGGGGTTTTTGAACCCTTAGGTAGGTAGGTGGAGATGTGTAGGTGACAGTAGCTGTGAAGACCATTTAGATGACAAGGGCTTGGAATCAGGAGTAGCAGAGTTGTTGGTGGAGTGGAGTTCTCTGGGCACTGCGTGGCCTAGGTGATGTGGAACCAGGAAGGCAGGCTGGAGACTTTGACCACTGATGCAGTCGAGAGGACAACCAAGTGGGGGCCTGGCCATATAGAATTTAATCCTATAGACTTAGAGGATTTAAGATACATTAAATCACCAGGGGATATGGATGGCGCCAATTGGGTTGATATCTATTGGTTGTGGAAAGTGGAGTGCAGCAGGTATCAGAGGAAAGATAGGATTATAGTGGGGGGCGGGAGTTATCAGGAGTGGGGAAGCTATGAAGCAGAAAAGGACTACTGTGTATTAGCTCAAATGAACTTAGGAAGTGCCCTGAATCTAGTCGGTGCTAAGGGGAGGAGCTGAGGCCAAGGCAGGTGTAGCTCTAAGGTGAGTTTTATGAGGAAAGCTTTTTTTTTTTTGGCAGAACCGGGGATTAAACTCAGGCCCTTCTGCTTGGTAGGCAAGCACTTATTCTACTGAGCCATCTCCCCAGCCCCTGTGAGGTGAGTTTTTAAAAGCCCATTTGCCTTTTCTGTTTTGCCAGAGCACGTGGGTGATAAGTGCAAGTGATTTGGGAGGTGAACGCTGGACCATTGTCTGACTGGATAGTCTGGGGCAGTCCAAATCTGGGAATAATATCCTGTATGAGAGCTTTAGCGACTACAATTGCAGTTTCCTGAGCAATGGGGAAGGTTTCTGTCCACCCTGAGACAGTGCAGACAAAAGTGGGAATTAGGGAGGCATGTGCGCAAAGTCTGTCGGCAAGTCTTTGTGTGGAGTGCGTCTATGAAGCTGGTGGGTTGGGAAAGGAGGTGGTAAATGTGCCTGAGGAGAGGTCCTGACACAGAGCTGGCAGTTTTGAGTACTTGGTGAGTGATGGTTTTTAGGGAGGGATGTGGGTGATGGGAGCCAAGAGTTGGTATAGAGCCTGAGTACTCACATGAAGGCAGTTGGGGAAGTCGGTGATGATGGCTTGTGCTTGTTGGTCTGGAAGAAGGAGTTTTGGCTCTTGGCAGATCCATCTCTGTGTGTTTTGGTGATAGTCAGGCTTGTGGAGCAGCCTGTTCTGGTAAATACTGGGGTGAGAGCATGGTTTTGGGAATAAGAGGAAGAAGGCGAGGAGCAAAAGCATTGTGTCAGCAAAAGCATTTCCCTGAGTGCGGTGTCCCCTGCAGTGAGTCAATGCCACCTGTTTTGGGAAGTTTAAGGATGGGAGGCGCATTGGTGATGGGAGTACCCTGGGCACTGATAGATCCCCTTTCTTGCCAGATGGCAGCAAGGGAGTGGAAAATACTAATTATGTACTTAAGAGTCTGCGTAGATGTTTATAGCTCTGTCTTTGGCTAGTATGAGGGCTCTATAAACTCTGTCTTTTGTGAGCATGTCCCAGGTGGCAGTGGGCCTGCCTCTGTTACAGTTGACCCATTGACTATGGCATATCTCACCTGTTTTGGGGTGTCTGTATTTGTTGCATTGCCATCTATGAATCATGTGTCAGAGGCTGTGGGAAGAGGAGCGCTACAATGTGAGGGAAGGGAGTCGGGGTCATCTATAGGGCCTCACCACAATTGTGTTGGGGGGCCTCATCAGAGGTGGGGAGTAAGGTAGCAGGATTGAGAGGGCTAAAGGTGGAAATAGTGATGGAAGGGTCCTCTGTGAACATTAGGTGGATCTGTTGTATACAAGAGGGAGTCATTAGGCTGGAAGTGTGTTATGTGTGATGAGCTCACTAAGGTGATGGGGTGAGTGAACAGTGATAGATGGTCTTAAACTTGTTTGCTTCTTGTGTTAGTGTGGCTGTTGCTGTGAGAGCGTAGAGACAGGCCATGTGTGGGTGAACAGTATTGTCTAGTTGTTTGGAAAGGTATGATAGTGCCTCGAAGGATGTTTCCTTTTTGTGTCCTAAAACACCCACTGCATATGCCCCTGAGAAGAAGTGTATACGGTAAAAGGCTGGGTTGAGTTGGGATGTGTAAAGTGAGAGCTGGGACCCTTAAGAGAGCCTGTTATCATTTGTGAAAGGAAGAGTAAGGTTAAGGGACTATGACAAGGAATGACTGATATTTTAAAGAAGGGCTGAACTAGGGAAGCAAGGTTGGGAACTCAGAGGCGAAAGAAATCAGCTAGACCAAGGAAGGACAGAACTTGTTGTTTTGTGGTGGGCACCTGAAGGTCATAAAGGTGGGCTTTGTGATTGGCAGTGATTGCACGAGAGCAGTGGGGGTGAGGGTGAGTCCTAGATGTTTGACTTCTGGTGAGGGTATTTGAGCCGTGGCTAGCGAGCGCCTATAACCTCATTGTGACAGGAAATTGAGAAGAGTAGCGGTGTTTTATAGGGCTAGGGGATGAGAGGGAGCAGAGGAGAAGGTTATCAGTATACTGAAGGAGTAGGCTGGGCTTAAGATCAAGGGTCTTGAGATCAGCAGCAAGAGCTTGGCTACAGAAGTGAGGACTATCTCTGAATCCTTGAGGCAAGACTGTCCATGTGAGCTGTTGAGATCAGAGAGTGTCTGAATCAGTCTGTGTGAAAGCAAAGAGGTCCTGGCAATCTGAGTGTAAGGGAATGGTGAAGAAGGTGTCTTTAAGGGCTGCGACAGTAAAGTGAGTAGTGCAGGGAGGGATATGAGAGAGCATGGTGTAAGGATTTGGCATCCCTGGGTGAGTAACTGTATTGTTGATGACCCTGGGATCTTGAACTAAATGATAGGAGTCATTAGATTTGAGTACAAGAAGAATGGGAGTATTCTACAGCAAGTAGGCACTGCAAGTGTCTCAGAGTATATGGTCGA